GCTGAAAGAAAAAGATAGCGACTGGTGGCGGCCAAGCCCTATCTTCTTCTAACCAGCAGCCGTAGTATGAGAGTATAGAAAACATAGGCAATGGGAACATTAGAAAAGGAGAACAATTGGTCGTCACCTCATTTCGTCTTTGTTTATTTGAGCGGACACTTTTTAAAAGGATCTAAGGTAGGGATCGCGTAGTCCACACTATATGTCATTAGACTGGGCATACCCATGTATTCTGTGCCTCGCGATCTTTATATGCGGCATATACAGTAATGCGCAATTGAAGTGGAACACTTGAATTTTTGTGTATCTCTACGAAACTATGACCGATTTAAAAAAACCAAAAATATATTTTTTAGGAAATTGCCTTCCCGTTCGAATGGTAAAAGTTTTATCCCGATCGGATACAAAATGGCCGAATGGCAGGGGTTGGAGTGAAAAAGTGCATTTTTGAACTTTTTGAAAATTTCGAGATCTAGTAGTTCCGGAAGGAAATTTATATTTCTAATCAGGGAACGAGAGAGAGCATCCTTCGGCAATAAAAAAACACCCCCATTGAACCCCTGTAGGATCACTCTAGGGGGAGTTACACCCCCTTGAAGTGAAAACACTTAAATGGCCATAACTTCCGAACGCGCCGGCCAATCTGGTCCAGTTTCTGCATGATATCATCTTTAATGATACTGCAGATTCTCACAAAATTATTGTTCTCGGAGATGATCCCGTGACAGAGATCTCGAGATTTCGCAAGCGCGCCCGAAGCTTCCCCGCTATTTTTCATAAGGAAAGCGATGAAATAGAAGTTTCATTTTCATCCACGTTGTAGCTGAGATTTCAACGATTAAAACGCGCTTTTAAACATCCAAATACGAGTACGCTAAGGGGTTACATTTTAATTTGAAAAAACGCCTAAATTTTGCGAATTCCGCTCGAGGCGCTCGGGGGACAAATGCTTGGCGCGCGTGGTAGGGTACTAGTCCCCCGAGCGCCACGAGCGGAACTCGCAAAATTTAGGCGTTTTTTCAAATTAAAATGTAACCCATTAGCGTACTCGTATTTGGATGTTTAAAAGCGCGTTTTAATCGTTGAAATCTCAGCTACAACGTGAATGAAAATGAAACTTCTATTTCATCGCTTTCCTTATGAAAAATAGCGGGGAAGCTTCGGGCGCGCTTGCGAAATCTCGAGATCTCCGTCACGGGATCATCTCCGAGAACAATAATTTTGTGAGAATCTGCAGTATCATTAAAGATGATATCATGCAGAAACTGGACCAGATTGGCCGGCGCGTTCGGAAGTTATGGCCATTTAAGTGTTTTCACTTCAAGGGGGTGTAACTCCCCCTAGAGTGATCCTACAGGGGTTCAATAGGGGTGTTTTTTTATTGCCGAAGGATGCTCTCTCTCGTTCCCTGATTAGAAATATAAATTTCCTTCCGGAACTACTAGATATCGAAATTTTCAAAAAGT